GAAATTCAAAAAATTTCAAGCGCCCGTTCTCCAGAACACGGGAAACACAATTTTTTTTTTTTTTTTTTCGAAAAATTTAAATTTCATAAATAATTTGGAACTCCCGTCTTGTGGAGAACGGGTACTTCAAGCCTCCGTTTTCTGGAGCACGGAGAATTCAAGAATATTGAAGTTTCCGTGCTCTAGAAAACGGGGGCTTCAATTTTTTTTTATTTTTTTTCCGAAATTTGCTAGATCTATTCTTAAACACGTGTTTTTACCTAAATTGGAAATGAAACTAATTAAAAGTAGTAGGAAATCGAAAACTTACCGGAATCGAGCCTCGTTTGTACGGTTTGAATGTCGAAAAAAATTTACGAAATTCAAATTTCTAGAGAGTGTTTGGGAGTAGGAGAGAGAATTTGCAAGTTGGAAAAATTAAAATGAAAAAGCTACCGCTGCAAATAAGCCAATTTCAGTAAAAGTACCGCTGCAAATAGTAAAACCCATGTAATTAGGTGCATACAACAAATATTGTGACAGGGAATTGGGCAGGGGCCCATTACAATTCAATCTCCATACCATCTAACATTAAATAACAATCCAATGGATCAAACAAAATTCAAGATTTAAATTGTCATAATTTTTATTTATTTATGCCACTAATGTAAATATATGATAAAACAAATACGAGATGCAACAAAAAAAACTCACATCCCAAATCCAATTTATTGAGATTTAAAAATAGCAAAAAAATGAAAATATCTTTGTGACGCAATAAATGAGGTGACGTGGAGGCCCATACATTGGAAGCAGCTTTCTGTGGTGGTTTGCTATTCAGCAGCACACAGATTAGGTACCCTGGTTTGCAGAGCGCATATTGTATTTCACTGGGTGTAGGATCCCGTAAACGGCTTTTTATGGATTCAGTTTAATTTATTTAATTTTAGCAAATATATTTGGATTTTTTGTAAAATAATAAATTATGGACGATAATTGGAAACAGTACACTATAATTACAAATGAAATAAATAATACCTGAAATAGGAATATTCTTGGACCATCAACTCTATCCATCGTTTTCCTTTTTCCCTTTTGTATTAAATTTATAATTTAATTTTTTTAATCCCTTGGTTTCAAATTGTGAACGATATTTTTTTCATTTCGATTTACGGTATCCACAATTTTTTTTAATCGAAATTAAAATTTATATGTACGGTTATTGAAAATTCCAAACATTAATTAGATTTATTTACAAATTTAATTTCATAAAGTTCCGAAAAAAAATCATATAATATTAATATTATAAATTATATAAAAATATAAATACCTACTTTTGATGACTCCGAAACCCCGAACGGAATTTTAAGTTCCAAATTTTAATAATTGGAGTCGAAATTGGAATTAGTGTTTACAATTTTATTCAGTACGGTGAAAACATATCATTCATTATGGTTACAATAGTGTCGATAGTCCAAAATTATTTACTCTTAATTATGTGTAGTAGATATACAGTAGAATTTCGATAAATTAATAATCTTGTGTAAATAATATGTTTTCACGGTCCCAAATTAAAAATAATGTGTTAAAAGATACTTCCTACGTTCCTAGACAATAGTCGTTTTTCACATTTGCAAAAATCTTAAGGAACTCAATAAATATGTCTTGATTTTAGAAAAATAGATATCGTTAGACCAAAATACACTTATTTACTAATTAATGTAGATAGAGTGTTGAAGAGTTAACAAGGGCATAATTGAAAATATGTAATTAATGTAGTAGTGGAATAGTAAAGTGACAGATAATATGGAAAAATAATATCGTAAAAGTGACAGCTATTTAGCAACGGAGAGAGTTTATCGTTAAATTTATATATCACTAAATTAATAGTAACATTTTTTATTGAATTAATTTATAGAAGTTTAATTGTAATATAAATTTAAAAAAAAAATTGTAATAAGAATTAGTATCTTAATTAGAACATTAAATTATAATGGGAATCTTAGTTGGATAAATTCAATGCTCTTTCTTTTGTTGTAGTCTAATTTTCCTCTACTGCTTCCCCTCTTTCCTATAAATGCTCACACCACTTCACAATTTCTTCAGAACAACTTTTCCTCTGTAAAAACTCACACTCAAACACAACAATCATTTACACATTAAACCCCGGCAAGAAAATGTTGATTTCTTCTGAGATGATCAAGATTTGGGCTTCCACAATTTCCAGACAGCTCGGTGGATCTCGATCTTGGTTCGTCTTGATCAAGCTGCTCAAGAAATTCTCTGTCGCTCTGCTTACTTGCATCGTTGCTTTAGGTATGTCAGCCTAGATTCACGGTTCAGTTTTTCTTCTTCTTCTGGTTTTTGTTTCTTTGCGTTTCTCACGCACACAATAACACCCACCTCTGCGTGTTGCTGCTCTCCGAATCGAACGAGGTTCGGTGTGCACACCACCTGTTTGATGAAATTACCGTGTGAGCGAAAATTTCGCATCTTGAAAGTTTCATTAATATGTGCTGATTTATGTAGGTGGAGCTATCGTGGGAGTAATCAGCGGAGCGCTAAAAGGGCAGACCACAGAAACCGGTATCCTTCGCGGCGTCGGTGTGGGGGCGGTGGCGGGGGCCATCACCGGCGTGCAGCTGATGGAACTCATACTTAACGGCGAACCATTTTCCAAGGTGAGAACACGTCCCTGTCAGTATTAAAAACACCCACCTGCTTTCTGCAGTTTCTGTCCATAAATATTCAGTGCTATTAACATCTCATCCCTCCGTTAAAAAAATATCTACCTCAAAAAATAAAGACCCCACAACAAACAAAGTTTGTTTATTTTGTAAGATTTATTTAATGCATATTGAATCACTATTCCCATTACCCCCTTTGATTCTTTAGCTACTAAAGATTGTATTTTTTTTAAATTAGGGTTCATCAAGAAGGTACTTATCACAGTGATTGTTCAAAATGTGATTTTTTTTAAAGAATGGATTTTTGTATTTCAGATAGCACTAATATGTAGTTTGGTGAATGGGAAGATATTCATGGAATGGGTGAGTCCTGCTGTGTTAAAGGCTTATCAATGGCAGGTAGTTCGATTAAATTCCATCTCTCTTTTTTTTTTTCAATACTTTGGTTTAATTTGTTAGCTGAGGGGTTGTTGAACTCAACTAACTTTGATTTACTCAATTAAATTTTTATCTTTTTTTTTTTTCGGGTATCAGATTAGCACAATGGAAACAGGATTGAGGGATATTTCTGACATTTTCGAGATTAATACGATGAGGGGTTTATCTCAGGATGCAATACAGGAGTTGCCTATTTTCGAGTTTACTAGCGCAGAAACTACCGCTGCACCGTGTTTGAATGCTAGTTGTGCCATCTGCTTACAGGTAAACAACTTCTTAGCTACATTTTGGTTTGGTCTTTAAAGCAGAGTCAGAATAAGATCTGAACACTTGCAGTAATAAAATAATTCTTCTGCCCAACTAAATGGTCCCATTTATTTATTCTTTGGGATATTTACAATCAATTATTCATTTTCTTGTCGATGCCGAGGGCAAAACAGTAAAGATATAGTCGTATAACTGTTCGTTTTTTTCCTGACTCGATCTAAAAACTGTGCACGAAAAATTCAAACCAAGGACTTTCAGTTGTGGTCCGTGTGAAAGTAGATTAATGAAAGAGCGTTGTAATAAATGGATGTTTCTGAATTCTGAGTATTTGTTCCCTCCATCTTTGAACCCGTGTGTGTATTCATTTCCTCAACCAAATTCATTCATTACACAGAATTGTTCGAATATCCTCGTCACGTTCTTGCAAGAGCAATGTTAAAGTTAACGTGCTTCCATTCCGTAAAATAAATTTAAACACTATGCTTCTGTTTTCATTAACTTTTTCTTTGTTTCTCTCTTATGTTATTAGGATTTGAAAGATAGAGAATCTACGAGGTTGCTACCGAGCTGTAGACATTTGTTCCACCTGCATTGCATAGATGAGTGGCTTGCCCGTCAAGGCACCTGCCCGATGTGCAGAAAGGATGTTTGATCGGCAGCAAAAAAGTGAAAAATTAAATTCGCAGTGCCAAGAAAAAGTTAACGAGAGCAGAAAAATATGCAAGAAGAAACAGCAGGCGTATCTATGGTTGGTATAGATGAACTTGTACGAAGTATATGTCTGTAAGAAACGAGACCGTTGTTCTTCTATATGTATATGAAAGCAAGATCTATGTTTATAAGCACTTTCTTTTGCTGGTTTGTGTTAAAAGTTTCGGCTTTACTCGAAATGCTAATGAGAACAAAACGAGAATCTGTTGCTTGAAAATATATATGATGCACTATTTCTTGTGGGTTTCTTTGTTGGATTGGAGACGGAGTAGTTCGGTTCATAATTACGGGGAAACACTGTAGTTATAGTGGATCCCAATGGTGTTTTGATGTTTGTATCTAATTGATGGTTGTTGTTAAGGAAAACAAATTATGCACCAACCACATTTATTTCAGATCATTGTTTTTTGTTAGGGCTAATTTGAATTTGTACTATATTGTACTAATACAAAATTAACATCTTCGAAGACCGAAAAACACATCGTTTGGGTTCGGGGGCAAATACATCATTTCCTTGACATCTTGCGGATCTTGCAAGTCCTCGGAATGTGAAATTATCGAATTAATCTGCGAGTACTTCTCTTCGAGCATCAATGTAGCATCTACCGGCTTCTCTCGGATCAACTCAACTTGATGTCTTCGGTAACTGCACATATTTTTTTGTGCTCTTCCATGCTGATTTTTCGTCGCCTGAGTTTTTGCAAGAATTGCTCGAGTTTGCTAAACTCAGTACGAATTGTCATCTGTGTCAGTGTGTGTAATTAATTGTGTGATGTGCGAGTATTTATTTAGTGTAGATTTGGACGGTCAACGTCATGTTTACGTCACAACTCACAAGTTCAAAATTGGGTCAAAATTGGGAAAAGAGAAGAGTTTCATAATTGGGCTTAATATGTTTATTGGGTCGGGTCAAGCCCGACCTTTTTAATATCTATTCATTATAGTAGATTCAATTGGGCCTTAACATTCTTGTTGGATCACTTCGGCCTATCTCATGCAAAATTTATTTATTTATTTTTAAATTATCATTTTAGATACTTAATACTGTATTACATGTGAATTTTTTTTTCCTATTTTAACCTGATTAATTCAATTCTAAATATAAACCCTTTTATCACATCATTAAATGAATGATCAAGGTTATTTTAGTTTTTCTGATGTGTTTTTTCTCTTTAAAATCAAAACACATTTATCGAGATTTTTAATACTAGTGAAAAGCTAAAAAAAGACAGTTTATTAGAAACTGGGTGTATTTCTTAGAGCTAAAATATTTGACAATTTCTATGAGAAAAAACAAATAAAAAAAAAAAGTAAAAAATGCAATGTTTGAGAGGTTTAATTGTTTGACTTTTAATGAGGGGAACTGTTGTGTTAATTGATTTAATCCAGTCAGGTGGTTAGGATTAATGTTAATTAAATTCCATAATCATTGTAATAAATCATAATCTGAACACACACGGTACGTTACGTACAGATGAAAACGCCAGCTGACAGATTCCGTGGCAGCTATCTCCTTTCTCACACGGAACGGCTCCGTGGTCGGCTAGCTGATAATCTGAGCCGCTGCTTCTCCACGTTGGATAATCCTATCCTCAACTCACGCACGCATACATCTTCATGCATTATTAAGTTTTTTTGTTAAAAACATTAATTCTCTTATACATTTTAATTAAAAAATTACCATTAGTATAAAATTCACTGTCCTCCAAATAATTACAGAATTTAGTTTTAAAGTATTTACAGTTGACTAGGAAACAATCTATAATTTACTAGAAAGAGATTAATAAAGTGATTATTGAGTCGAATTGCCTCTGTGTTATCATGTTCATAGACTCCAATTTTTGGTACGAATATTTGTGTGATCATTTGATGAGATCAAATGGGCTCTTTGGCCAAAGTGGCATTTTTATAAATTTATTTCTCGCAATGGAAATTTTGTTTCCCACAACTTAGCTTTGTGGCCTCTTGATGTAAATTGGTTAGGGTTTGTTTCGTTTTGTAATATTCCCTCCGTGTTTCCTATGTTTGACACTTGTAATTTCTGTTGTAAGTTGTAACTCATGATTGGTTTTCTTATCAAAAAGAAATACGACGAAGATTGAAAATTGAGATGCTACATTCGATGGAATATACATGGCAATTTTTAATCGCTGATGTTGTGAAATAACTTTCTACTAAATACACATATACACATGGATGTGTGTGTTTTTGCGATTATATGCGGATCAACAGCTAATAATCAGTCGGTTGTATTTTATTGAGTGTACCATCAAATAAAGTGTCACGAGACAATGAACCAATGAAGAAAATTTTGAAAAATGAAAAGAAAAAAAAAACACATGGGAAAAAAAATATTTGGATGACTAGGCTCATCATTGACTCCATCCGGGCCGGGTCAAGTAATCTAAAATGCCCAGTCAAGCTGTCGGTTTTTTACAATATTAAATTTGCACAGTCACCACTCACCAATCAAGCCGAGCCGAGCCACCAGTCCCTTGAATAAAACGCGACTCAGTAGGCGGTGGCGTCACCCAATAAACCTTGAGCCAACCCGAAATAGGTGGACCGGGCCCACGTGGAACAGGTTGTTTGTTCCCGCCCCCTCTTTCCTTTATAATATATACACACACCGATATATATATATATATATACATATACATCACCCACCCTCATTAATTCAACTCTCAAAATTCTATACATACAATCTCAACAAAAATACACACACACAGAGAAAGACCAGTATGGGAAACTGCATCAGGAAAGGATCCGCGGCGGAATGGGGCGGCGAAGACTGGGGATCGTTCGGGTCGGGCGATAAAACCCGAATCGGGAAAAAATCGGGCGTCGGATCTTCGGGTAAAATGCAAAAGAGCAGTCTTCCGGTAGAAGGCAAAGTCGTTACGTCTGGCTGTATATCGGCATCGGCGACGGCGTCAGATGAAGTAACGGAGGTAAAGGTGAAAATATCGAAGAAACAGTTGGAAACGCTGTTGAAAAAAGCCGACGTCGAAGGGCTGTCGACCGAGCAAGTTTTGGCGCAACTGATGAACGTCGCCGATCAATTAGAGGCCCATCAACGGTCGTGGAAGCCTGCTCTGAAGAGTATACCGGAGTAGATGGATTTTTATTTATTTATTTATTTATAACAAAAGGTAAGAAAAAAATTAGGTAGAATTACGTGCGGAGAAGTTCACGAATGTAGCATACGATAAATCGGTTTATTTGATGCTAAACTCGGTGAAATACATCGGGCGATTGTTAACCTTTGATCTGCACGTAATTACACACATTCGTGTGTATGTGTGTTTAGTAGAAAGTAATTTTACAACATTAACCGTTAAAAATTACTTGGTGTATTTTATCGAGTTTAGTATCATAATTAATAAACCAGGTTTATTAATTAATTGGAGTTGAGGTTGATTTGTTCCTTACTATATTTGTTTATATATTTTGTACAAATGGATTTGATTTATTCCGAGGGTTGAGTGTATAGAATATTTTGTATGTTATATATATATATATATATATATATATATATATATATATATATATATATATATATATATTGGGGAATTGGTAATGTTTTTGGTGCTAAATGCTCTAATTTGTTAGTCTTGATGAGATGTTTAATAGGGAATTATATGCTACATCAGGTTAATAATTAATAGTGGCTTGAATTCGTAGTAAGTAAATAAAACAAAGATGTTATCTAGGGCGATAATACTTAACATAACGTGTAGCGGAATAAATGAAAGGAAACACAAAGTTGAATATCTACAAGTAAATATTTGAGGACTGCCTTTAAAAGCGAAATGATATACAAACAATATTACAAGAATACACAAGAAATGAAGAAAATAATTCAAAATGCGTCCACTAACTGCACATGTTAAGCAAAATATCAAATATTAAGATAATGATTTAGTAGGTTATTGAGATAGAATCATAGAATAAATAATCAATCACTAATCCTTTATCAACAACCACTTAATCCATTATCTAATTTAGGTCTTAGGAAAGTTAAAACATGTGGATTAATTTCATCCACTACTAGATGGAGCTCGTCACGCCTAGTGAGGTTTAAGTCACTTGTATGATTTGCAAACTATCATACGAGAGTGTAAGTTTACCTAGAGCGGGTTCATTCAATCCAAAAAAAAAAAATATAATTATTATTATTTGAACACATGATTTTTTAATTTTTTAATTACAAATTTTGGACTTCATTATTCCTCGATGATAAATACCAATTACTCTTATCATTTCAAGGTACACACTATTTATTAAATAATTTAGAAAATTTATGTACAAGTTAATAATTTAAAATATTTCACAATAAAATAGAAACAAAACAAGAATGAACATAAAAAAAAGGAAAGAGGAAAATGGCGGGTTGTTTGTGGTGAATTTCAAGAGTTTTTTTGGATTTGAATTCATACTCTTTCCTATACCGCCGCCTGTTTCTAATTCATCGTCACTTTTAGGCGCCAAATCCCCAATATTGAAAAATCTGAATTCACACTCCCAGTAAAGAATTCCAAAATCACCATTATTCTTTATTGCCATGGCGGATTTCGATTTTCAGCCTCCGTCCTTCTCTCTAGGGCTCGATTTGGACCTCGATTCGGAGCCCCACCCCGCCCCTCCGCCCAATCCAATACCCCAACCAGCTAAACGAGCTTCAATCGCCGCCAGTCTGCCCACAATCGAGGAAGACAACGACGATTTCGAGTCCCCTGTTAGGGTTTCCGACCCACCTCGAGCCTTCAAGAGGCTCCGCCGCGGACCCACTGCCCGGGTCACACCCGAGACCAGAAACCCGAAGCTCCGGGATGGGCGGTGCCACGTGGATGACGAAATTGAAGGATTCTCTTCCGAGGAAGACTGCCCCAGAGGTATAAATAAAAAAAAAATAATCTTTCACATAATTTTTTGTTGGTCGGTTCATTAATTTGGGTTGCATTTGGTGAATTGGTAATTATCTGCAAACTTGGGTGTGTTTTCGATTCAGTAATTGGGAATAATTTGCAGATCCAGTATCTTTCTTCGTCTTCTCGAAAACACTTGAGCTTAAGAACGTTACCATTTAGTTCTATATGTGCAAATATTCCCTTATTATCTGGCTTTGATACCGAGTTAATTGAGTAAATTATTATATCTGCGTGATGAATTTCGTACTCTCTGCAACCTAGATTTTATGCTGCAATAGTCCTCTCAGATTGAGGTTATAGTCGTCTTCAAAATAAGCTCGATTTGCTTTGGTTGTGTCAAAGTTAATCATTTCCACCACTATATGAAAAATAAGCCCGATCTGCAATTGTTGCTAGGTATACTTATAATCTTACTGTTCGACTAATAATCAGTTGGATATTCAAAAAGTTGAGTGATAAAAAAGTACTTACGAAGTTGTGTTGCCTCATCCAAAATCACTTTTTTTCTCACTGCATTTATTTGTGAAGTCAAAACCATTTTTCCTTTAGCACATAACCTACGAGTGGCTGTATTAAAAATTAGCACGGTTGCTCTTGATCTGTATTATACTTTTGTAGAGTATGTTGCTTGCTCGCCTATTCTTTGTGTATTTTTATATCGATAATTCCTAAATTTGTCGTGTAATTTCGAATAGCAGGCAGTATTCCTTCGAATTCTGGAGGTAGCAGCTCAAAGCCGTCATTATTTGGACAGAGTGCAGTGACTACAGAATCTGGAAGCCAATGGAGATCAAGAAAGGGGAAAGGAGTTTCAAGTGCTTCGGCTTCAGTCACTGTCGAAAAACGAGGCAGCAGTTTGATATTCCCACAATTAACTGTTAGCCCTTTGAGAAGATTCCAGTTGATTGATTCCGATTCCGACGACCCTCCTCTGAATTCGTCTCCAAAGGAAAAACAATCAGATTCTCTCAAACACGGAGCTTCTAGAAACTTGGGGGCAAAAAAGGAATCAGTTGGCAAGTACGAAAAAGAAGATTTATGGAGAGATTTCTGTTCTGAGAAGAGCACACGCGTTCCAACGCCTGTTTTTGACGAGTTCTGCGAAGAATATTTCACAAAGGCGAAAACGAAGAATAAACCAGAAACTAACTTAAAGAATACTAACAATGGGAAGAAATTGGAAGAGGGTTCTCTTCCTTCTGCTCATTGCTACTTTTTCCATACCGATTCGAGGATTCAGAAGCTAGTTCGTGACCGTTTACCCTATTTCTTCCCCTTGGGAGCAGTGAACAATCAAGAATACACGCAGCAGCAAAATTCACCCGTTATTGATTACATGTAAGATCGTTAACTTTTCTAGGTTTTCTTCGTCCTCCGTTTATACTACTTAAGTTTAGATTTGAACCCATGCATTTTTTTCTCCAGGGGTCAATTTGGTCATGAAGATAATTCGAGGAAAACAGTTAGGAAGAACAGTGCCGAAAAGGGACCGACGAGGAGCAAACGAAATGCTAAAAAATCGCAAGATTCTGAGAATTGGGTGAATCCAAAGAGTGGTGCTGGACTTCAAAAAAATGCTGGTAGCAGAAGGGTACAAGCAGTTAGTGATTCAAGTACTAAATCGAGTGGTCACTGGTACACAGGCTCCGATGGGCGACGAGTAAGTTAAAAATTCATTTTCTAATTTAAATAATCCTCGTACTTTTGAGATACTTAAGCACCACAAGGAGTTAAATACGTATTAGATGATTAAAAATTGGTTCTTTTTCAAGATTAATCTTTACATTATTAACTGCGAATTCATATTTCATATTAATCGTTTAGCTGCACCGGTTTTTATTTTTGTTTTTGCTAGTTTATTATCTCTTTCCTTCGATTGATTTATCATGTAATTGCTATGAATTTATCAGGTATATGTGAGCAAAAAGGGGCAGGAGTTGACGGGTAAAATTGCTTACATGAACTATAAGAAGGTAATTTTGTGATGTTATTTGTGGAAACTAATAATATAATCGATACTCGTAAAGATCTTTGTTAACAATTAGCCGTATTTATGTTCATTGTACTCACAGGAGAGTGGAACAGGGTTCACGAATTCGAAGAAGAAAGGAGCTGCTAAGAAGAAAACTGCTGCCAAGAAATCGACTTCGAATAAGAAATGATTAGTTTTCTTGGTTATTTTCTCGTTTTTATAAACACGATGAGACAAGTCATTTCTTTGATTACCGATGTACAGTTATTATATTGCAACCGACTGTCATTATTCTGAATACAGAATATAGTTCGAAAACGTACGCCACCGATACTTTCGAGTACCGGAACCGGTTTCTAATTCTGCCATTTATGATTCTTAACTGCATCAAAACACGATATCGAGCCAATCAAATTAATTGACAAATGTCAACAGTTTACGAGTTTCGAATTGTGTGAAGTTACGGACAATGTCTACTCTGTTCGTCCAAAGGGTTTTGTATGGATTTATTCTTAGTAAGTGACAAGTTGTAGAAATAAAACAAGCAAGCAATCTTGAAAGTTCATTCGACGGCTGACTTCGTAACTGGTTGACTTGAAACTGTCATAAATTGTTCCAAACACTCTTTCTAAACCTGAACCAAACAACACCTTCACCATTTTATATTGAAGCTTATATAACTAGTCTCTTTTTTTTTTTTTCCAACGCAAGAACTCGAAAATATTAGTAAAGAGAATTATTCTTCATTCAAAATTATACACAAATTGGCACTAATTAAATTGTTACAGTTTCCAAGTTCCCTAATTAAAATTGGCACTCATAAATTATTTCGGTGCTAGCTTCCGGCCGACCATGGTGCCGCCGCCAGAAGCGGCGGTGAAGGAGGCGGCAGGGAAGCAAGAGGAGGAGGGGGAGTGGGTTTCGGTGTTGATTTCGTGGGTGAGAATAGTGGTGTGCTTTGTGTTGATGATGTTGACTACATTGATATGGGCGGTGATTATGGTGCTGCTGCTGCCTTGGCCGTACCAGAGGATTAGGCAGGGCAATATCTACGGCCATGTCACCGGAAAAATAATGGTAAATGTTTTCGAAATTAGTTACTCACTCAGTCACGAAATTATATATATGCACACGCATGCGAATTAATAAAATTGTTAAATAAACATATATAATAATCGCATTTGTTGAGTGTAGATGTCGATTTTGGGGAATCCGATAAAGATAGAAGGAGCGGAATACTCGAACGAAAGGGCAATTTACATAAGTAATCATGCGTCTCCGATCGACATCTTCCTCATAATGTGGTTGACTCCCACAGGAACCGTCGGCATTGCAAAGAAAGAGGTTAATTACTACTTAGAATTATATATAATTTCGTAACTTTTTTTCTAATAAGTCGAATATGTGTAAATATGGTTAAAAATCTGTTATCTTCGCGCACCAGATAATATATTATCCACTCTTCGGACAATTGTATGTTCTGGCAAACCATCTTCGCATAGACAGGTCGAATCCAACAGCTGCCATCCGATCCATGAAAGAGGTACGTCGATACACTATACGTACGTACTTAATTAATTATATGATTTGTTGTTGATTTCTTTTATTTAATTTTTTTTGTGCAGGCTGCTAATGCAGTTGTGAAGAACAATCTGTCTCTGATCGTTTTTCCGGAAGGCACACGGTCCAAAAACGGGCGGTTACTACCTTTCAAGAAGGCAAGTATAAAAGAAATCTTGATCGTTATTACACACTATATTATTATATATATTTTTTTAATTTATGGATTGTGGCGGGGCCGGGATAGGGTTTCGTGCACCTGGCGATGCAAACAGGGATGCCGATAATCCCGATGGTGCTGACGGGCACACATAGAGCTTGGAGAAAGGGTAGCTTGCATGTGAGGCCGGTGCCTCTAACCGTAACGTATCTACCTCCGATTAGGACAGATGATTGGACACGTGACAAAATCGAAGACTATGTAGAACTTGTTCGTGATCTTTATGTCGACAATTTGCCCCTGTCTCAAAGGCCTACTTCCGACCAAGTTACTTTGTAGTTTCTTTTATCCACTCTGTGCTGATTTTTGGCGCGCGATTCACACCGTTTGAATGTTTGTATATATATAAAAAAAACAAAAAAATAATAATAGTAATTATTATTACGGTAATCCCTCGTCTTGATATTTTTAAATATATTTAGTCCCATCGCCACGTGTTTTATTAGCCGTCTAACTCATTTTTATCCTTCAACTCTATAATCCATCTCATTTGAGCCGTTTGGAATATTCTACTCTTATAATTATTTAATAAACTATAAAGAAGTTAGTAAACACTACAAGAAAAAAAAAAACATATCAAATTTATTAACGTAAAATCATATATATGAATAAAATTCAAATATGTAAGAGAATATATTTAGGCGACATATTGTTAATTACTAAAATTGTTTATAAATTCAAGCGATATCCAGAAAAAAAATCTAAATGATTCTTTATATAATTTATCTAAAATATCTAAATTTTAACATAAATTTTTCTAAGTAACATATATCAAAATAAATTTAACAATGAAATATTGTAAGTTTCTAACCGGACTTTTTCCTCACCGGCCGGTAATTATATCATCAAATATTAATAAAAATTTAAAATAACTCTTTTGAATTAATAATTAAATTATTCCCTCTTTAGTCTCTACAACACACCCAAACTCTCTACTGTTCTAGGGCTCTGAAAAAATTTTAATCTGCATTTCAATCTCTTTATCGAAATGAATAATTTTACTCAACGAAATCCTCTCATGGCTCGTCGAAGGTACAGCGTTATCACGATTAAATATTTAGTTTATTTTCCAAATTTCCGATTTTTTTTTTTCTTGTTGCGGCATTAAATTCGTGTAGGTTTTGGGTTTCTGCTGTTGTTTGGTGAAACTTTGTTGGCTTTTGAGTCTAATGTTGGTTGAATGTTTTTGGGGGGTTTTGCCTGATTGATTTTTGTTTGCTGCGCGGTTTTTCCGGAGCTTTTTGAATCTGCTTTTCGTGGGAAGACCATATTATAGTTGGTTGTTTTTGTCGAAAAACAAAATAAAAAAAGACAGTATTTTTTCTTTTTAAATTATTGAGGAAATTTTATTAGGTGCAGGTTTGCCTGTGTTCTTATCTGTGAAGTTAATACAGAAAGGATTAAGATTAGTCCAAATTTAATGCTTCATCATCCTATATGTAGGAAGTGTTAGCTGTATTTATTGTAATGTAATTAGACTAATGATGGTGAAACTTTGAGTGGATCCGGTGAAAAGTCCCGATGTTTTACCCTTTTGCTATTTTCGTATGTTTGAGATCTGTGATTATACATTATTGGGAAATATCTATCATAGGATAGTGTAGAAATAGAGGTTTTGTTTGGACTAAATATTTTTCATGATTAAAATCTGCCCCCTTCATTAAAAACCTTACGTTATCTATCAAGTCGTATCCTAATCCCCAACGAGGCCTTAGGCTAATATATATATGTGTGTGTGTGTGTGTGTGTGTATGTGTGTGTGTGTAGAATTACGTAAAAATGAAATACAGTAGGTAGCATACACTTACCAAATATTAGTCAAATTCTCACTGTCTAATTGAGATTATATGTAATATAAAAATCTTATTTTCAATATGGTAGCATGAAAAATGTGTAACGGCTAGCTTTTTGAAAGTAAAGAAAAGAAAACGTAACGGATGTATCAGTTGACATCTCTACTAGACATTTTGAAAGGGGAGATCTGCTAAAAATGAGCAATTTGATATCGAAATTCGAACGTAGTGGATTAAGTGTATATATGCATTCTTTTTATTTCTCATTTTAATTTGTCATAATCAACGGGGATATTTTGTCTCCCATGTACTATGCCTTTTAAATTTATATTGTGTAATGTGCATGTCTTTAAATTGGTTGAGCAATAATATTTGTTACACAAGGAATTAAATAATTAGGAATTAGATTAAATACAACTATGTTAATATCTGTATCTGTAAATTCTATCGAAAATTCGAAATAGGCGCGGTAAAAGTAGGTAAAAGTGAAAACGGCTTAAATGACTGTCACGTGAAAGTAGGTCGTATTGGATGCTGTCAATAATAAATTTCATACAACCCTCTCATCGCTGTCATATTTGTTTTTAGCGTTTAAAGTTTTCCGTCCATTTAATTTCATTTATTAGAAAATTTTATCGAAAATTCCTAATTCTGTAGTATATATATGTGCCTTCTCTGTGAGTGGCATTATCATCAGTCTCGTGAAAGAAGCATCCGTTTCATTTCGGCTAGGTTTTCAGGTAAATTTTCCACGATTTCTCTGTATTCAGTCATAATCTTTATTACAGTCGGCATCTATCTTAAAATTCTCAAACACAAGTTTATGATTCAGAGTGTAAACATTTACATAGAATTCTAGTGTCTACTGATATCTTTTTTCTTAAATAACATTTTCGATTTGTTTATTTTAGTGGTATGTCCAATCTGAGTTGTTTTTTTTACTTTTAAATATCAACTGGCTGCTATTTTTAAGATCTGCTGTTTTTTTTGTGAATATATGATTTTATTTATTTATTTACTTTGTAGCTCTGTTGTATGATATACTTGTTTGTTCCTGCGAATAAATGAAAATTGATTGTTCCTAATACCTTAATCGATGCTGTTAAGCCGCATGACGTTTTGAACTTAAATCTTTTTCATTGAGTGATAAATCTTTGTTTAGATCTTTAAACCAGTCGAATGATTGGCTTGATATTTGCCTTATTTAGACACACACGCGCACAAAATTAATTGTCATATTTATTTTGCAAATTGCACCTACTGAAGGGGTATTTGTAAAATAAAGACAACCCTCTAAGAAGTAGACGTATTTTTCTGCTTGAAGGATGAGTTTTTTGCTTTTCCGATTCTGATGAGTATCTATAGCTGACAAAATATTACCAATATGTGGTAACTGGTATGGTCAACCAGATGCAGTAACAAATAGTGACGTACCCCAGAAGACATAAACGAGGGTTGATATTTGTGATATTATTTGTTTTATGTGTATTCATGAAAAAAAAGATGGAATATTGCCGATTTTCTTAAATTAGTTCGTGTTTTTCTTCATAAAATATTCATAGCCTAATATTTGGCTAGGAAGTCAGGAACTCTGCTTTAGTTTCGCAACATGAGTCAAGTCAATCAAGTGGAGACCTCCGGTGGGCCATCATCAGTCCAGTCAGCAAAGCGGAGGCGCGGTCGTCCACGTAAAGACTCCGTCCAAGCCAACATTTTACCTGCTGATGTGGCGCCCGCTTCTGAAGGGGTCCACCAAACTGCCGGACCTGAATGTGTGGTGGTGGGCCAGGCGGTGACAGGTGTCATCGAGGCAACATTTGATTCTGGCTACTTGCTCAATGTAAAAATCGGCGACTCGGACACAACTTTGAGGGGCGTTGTCTTCAAGACAGGTCACTACGTACCTGTCACAGCGGCAAATGACGTGGCGCCACATGTGCAAATGGTCAAACGAAACGATTTCCATTTCAATGTGGATAATCCTGCTGTGCGGCAGACATCTGCTTTGGTGCCTTCGAAACGGAAGTACGCACCTAGGAAAACTGCCGCCTCTTCTCCCGCTGTTCCTCATCCAGTAGGGGAGGGAAGCTCCGTGGGACCCGTTGGAGCGGAAGCTTCCGTAGATGGAGACAAGGAGGTGGTGCTCGTGGTTGAGCCGTTGACAATGGTATTACCATCGGGTGAACAGGTTCTTGTCGCTGCAAAAACTAACCCTAGCCACCGAGTTGCTGAACAGGAGGTTGACCATGGTTTGTCTAATGAAGGCACTGAGGTTGGACAAGAAGACAAACCTAAGACGACGATTGATAACTCAGGCAATTCAAAAACCTCGGACATGGAAGTTGAGGGTGTTGAGGAAGTGGTGAAGCCTTTAGCCAAAGATTCTGGAATTGTTTGTGGGCCCGTCGTGGATGAGTCACCACTGGCTGAACCTTTGGTTGACCAGGGAAGTGGAAGGATGACTGAGCTCTTACAGGTGAAGTGTAACTCACTCGAATGACTGGTTGTGTGAATATCCGTTTCGATACGGTTTTAATGTAGTGATTTTTTTTGTCGTGATAATCTAATTTATTTTGGATGCATTTTATATCTTAGGCTTTGCAGGAGACTGTAACAGAGACCGAGGTGCAAAATGATGAAGCACCAACTCCCGCAGCCCAAGTTGATTCGGTTGATGCAGTGATGAAGGAATCTTGTCAAGAAAACAAAGCAAACGAAGTGTGACGAGAGAATATTTATCAAGAATTGCGAAAAGAATTTATTTTTATTTCTGGGCTGGAGCTTTTAAAAGAGTTCTGCATTAGCTAGAATGATGAACTAGCAATTTCCTATTTCTTTTTTCTTTCTCTCTCTAGTTTTATGGGTAATTTTTACCTTTCATGAACAATTTGTGTAATCTTTCGTTCTGCATTTGAAATTTGGTTGGTCGAGTCGATTTGAACTTGTTATGCACATGTCAGTCAGTTTGAATGGTGATGAGTTTCTTGTCACAAAAGGACCATACTTAGGTAACCTCTGTATGTGCAAATTTTGTGTTCGAACAAGAACTAGGTTAATGCTGTCTGGTTAGACTCCAGAGTTGGCAAAACACACTCAAATCTACTTCGTATTTCAGCCTCGTATGATTAACAAGACAATCAATTCATTAAAATCAAATCGCAATATGTAGTCTCAGTCTACAACCAGAGAATAACTGAAAAAACCACCTAATATCTAAAGAACCTCTCCATGCCTCTAGGAAAAAAGAAGTAAATAATAAAAAAAAATCCTCATGTTACAATGTTCAAACGCCTCGTTTCTAAAGAACAGTGACGTACCCCCCCGGAAAGAAAAAAAAAAAAGAAAAAAGAAAAGAATTTGTATTGACTGAAAGTGAAGAAACAAACTATATATATGCCAAAATTTTCGAAGGAGAAGAATGATAAAATCTGAAAGGTGTGTCGGCCGGCCACTTATATAGTAGCCACGAAATTCAAGCGAACTTGGTATTCAAGAATCCATTTGAACCTGGAACTGCAATAGGTCGTAAAACGGGGAACATAGGCTGTGGCATTGGAATTGAACTTGTCATTACATATGACTGAGCTCCGTTTCCTATAATTGGGGGATTCATGCACATTTGCAGTGCCTGCGCTGGATTATTTCCTGCCAACACGTTTTTCTCGTTAAGATACCCAAAATTGTTTAAAATTTAAAGAAAAAAAAAAAAAAAATAAAAAAAAATATATATATATATATATATATAGATACACACATACATATGAGGATTTGAACTTTCCAAAACTAGCCTATGTAGACATACATACCTTGGTGTTTGGTGAAATGAACCGGATGTGGAGTTAACAGAGGCCGTGTATTAGCTGGAGAAAACCCTGCTACACTCTGTGCAACATCCTGAGACAAACATTAACCAATAAAATAATTACTAAATGCACGCCGATCGAGACAGAAAAAACTTGAATTGCATCAATCAAGTTTTTTGTAACTCTACCAAAAGAAGGCAAATTCAGTTTAATGTGAATGATAAGTAGATGTAATGTGAAAATCTTACATTAGAAATAGGATGCATGCAAAGAAGAGGCCCTACTCGTCCAAACATGGCCTGCAAATAATCGTTTGCAAAACCCTTTATATGTTAGTGCAATGATCTTCAAGAAAATGGATGCAAATTAACCGACGAGCAAAATGTGCATACGTTATGTGGATTTGGATGAACATAAGAAGGCGCTGTTTGATAATTCTGATACTGGCCGGTATATCTAACGGGTTGCGTCCTGTTCATCACTTGTCCAATAATCTGCAGACACCGTAAATCTTGTAAGAAGACTTGGCCAAATTGTAAGAGAAAACGTGCTTCAGTCGACCTAATACACAAAACATCCTTGAATTTATACAAACTGTATGACAAGAAAACAAAAGGAGGCAATACTTACGGGTTGGCCATATTGCGAATCGGTTACACCATGCTCAAAGGACATATTATTGTATGGAACTAACTTAACGGGCACAGACGAAAAGGCAATAGAATTTGCATCAACTTCTTCTCGTGCAGTAGCCACTGTCGTCATCGTGTAGTTGCTTGGCATGTAAGAAACACTTGCTCCGTTTGCCACTGCAGGAGGAGAGACCGCCGCTCTGTGGTGGAGTACTGACGGAGAAAACACTTTGGCTCCGGGATTGAGCTTCGATTCCTAGAAGAAGACGAAAAAAAATGTGTACAATATGACGAAAGATATAAGCTTTCATTATCTTGTTTACGGTGAATAATTTTGAATAATTCGTAGGCAAAACTTTGACATTGGAAATATTTAGTGGTGTCCCGTAGTACCTTGATGGTTTTCTTAACACTTGGATTTTTTGGAGGTGCAAATAGAAAGGGATTCGATGATGCTCTGAGCCTTGAATCTGATTTAACATCGGTAACGGGAACTTGTGAAGCAACAGATGCATTTGGTGTCTCGTCTGAAGTATGACCGTTTTGACCCTGCTCCTCAATTACTCCTTGTGGTTCTTGTGGAACGGTATCCTCTAAAACATTGAAAGTATCAGTTGATCAAGTTTTCATATCTAGACACTAAAAATATAAGATATGCGTATAACCACGGGTGACGTTTGAAACAGAAAATCGAGCAAATAAAAAAAAAACCCTTTTAGTAGAAGAGAATGAAAACTCACTGCTTCGACTCGAGCCATGAACCTCAGCATTGCTGTTGTTGTTGGAGGGGCTCTGCATTTCTTGCGATTCATTGCCAGTTTGTCTGTCATCAATAATTACACGATAAACAACATCTTCTTAATCTTATACGACTTGGAAATAGGTGTACCAAAAGACGATGCCATATCTATTGCTCTTATTAAAGGGAAAACATGCAAAACGGCAATCTATTCCCTCAAACAACAACAGAGCCAAAGGGTCGACGAGCAAACAAAAATGTCGATAACTAATAATAAGGCAGAAATATCTACCTTCCTTCAGCAGCACCATTATGTGCTTCATTTCTCTGCATCGGCAAAAATAATGAAAAAAATTCAATTAAATGCCCTCAATATCCAGACACAAATGGATAGCATATACAAAAATCAAGAAACAAATAGCATTAGCATTCGTTTCAACGTGCAAAGATTTTTAGCTTAACTATTTCTTATAAGTAGCCCTATAAGCTATTTTTTCATTTAAAAAGTTCACCTTTACAGAAATCACTGTATCAACTCTCTCAATACGATCTTCCGGAGAACTGTCCAATAGATTTTCTGTCTTATCACTGAACGGTAAAACTTTCTCTCTTTTGCCTGAAAACCTGCAGGCGGATATTGATTAAATTTTTTTACAATAAATTCAGAAATCACCATGCGGCTAGCACTGGAAACATGACAATGGTATCCTAAATTGGAATTTATTATCGTTTCATTTAGATTTCCGTTAGACGTGGTGCAAAAGTTGTAGTCTTTTACCTCGATTGACGTTTTTGCTTTTTGTTCGCTTTGGCCCCGTTAGATTTTACGAATGCTGAATCCCTATCCAGAGATTCAATATAACCTGCAGCAGCTTCGATGCCATCTCCACCTATGTTGCTCGTAACTCCATTAGAAGGAAGCAGAACTCCCTGAAAATATGCAAACAATTATTAGTCCGATTCTTCTTCTTTTTTTTTTAATTGAATGCCAAACCGTAAAGCGAGTAAAGCAAAGGCAACCTGCCTTAGCAACAACTTGGACAAGATCTTCCGACGGAACTACAAGCGTCTCTATAAGAGCTCCATTCACTACATTTGCGTCTAGGTTTCCCTTCCTAATCATCCTCGCTTTCTTCAAAACAACAGCTAAACCAGACATAAATACATTCATTAGAAAAAAAAAATACTATAACACAGTTGTCAAGAGTACATAAATTTGAACTTACAATACACAATACTCCATTGCAACTGATAACTAAACAATTATCTGAAGTCTATGCTATCAGATTGAACAATCACCTAGTCAAAAAAGTTTCTTTTTTTCAAATGTCATAAGATTACTATAACTCAAATACAAAAGTCACTAAAATTCAGAGATCATAATCAAATCAAGAATCAGCAGTGAGAAAGACAATAAATTCCTTTTTTTTTTTATCAGAAAACCCAAAACCCATATTTTTTTTATTTTTTTTGACGAATTAGCCAAAACCCTAATCCCCAATTCATCGATAAATCAAAAAATCGGAGAACAGAAACCATAAATTACCATAGTCCTCGTCGACGGATGCGGTGTGGAAGATTCCAGAATAAACGGAGCCATCTACAGCGTGTACATCCACGGGCATCCCAACAATGCACATCGTGGTGATTAACAAGGCATCGCCGATTGAAAGCGACGAGGCGGCGGCCGCCGCCGCCGCCGCCGCACCGTTGCTTCTGTTCTTCCCTTCCTCCCTTAACTCCCCCTTTCTGCAGGCCATTCTTATATTGGCGTTTAAGTAATATAATTAATGCGATTGTCGGAGAAACAATGTTCGATTACGAATAATGTTTGAAGGGAGTGCGGAGATCTGAGAGTTCGGAGAAGTATTATTGAGTTGTTTTGCTGCTACGAGAGAGAGCAATGTTTTTTTCTTTTTTCTTTTTCTTTTTTTATTTAATTTTATTATGTATTTGTGTACTTTTTTGCGGGTATTTTTTTCCAGGTTTAATTTTGCAAGATTTGCTTTTTTAATTAATTTATTTTGTTTAATAAATCTCTGATGTTGTTCCTTTTGCTAAATTGTTTTTTTTGTTTCCGGTTTTGCCCTTGTACATTCCTGATATTAACATTTAACAAATTAAAAAATATGAGGATTTTTTTCGTAA